AGGAATTCAATACGGCTAACATTTCTTATTTTCATAAAAAAACGACCTGTTTAAATATCCATTTGTGAAAATCATGTTTATTCAATAAGCTTACTCAAGTATAACACATGTAGTGTCAGAGGAATGGGTGAACAAGTCTATAACTTTTGTAAATAATACCAATTTAAATGTGTATTTGTTTTGTATGCAACTGTGCGGTATAAGGAAAGTTTGAATGAATTACTTCCCTTACTAACGTGACACTAACGCATTATCAACAGATCGTTTTAAGATAATGTTAACACACTTTGAGTTTGCTCTGTTAGGATAAATGTTAATCTGGCATGCGTTAAACTTTGTTTTGAGAGTACCTTAATACTATGAGTCGTAATATATCATCGGCAACAAAGATAAACGAGAAAACCCAAAGGATATCTGTTGCGTCATCGTCTCTTTGCTTCTGGGTCTGGACAAGTTGTTTTATATGGGTGTGCGACAGGCTGAACTTATAAATGCAGATATTTAATAGTTGTCCATTTTGTCTTAGGATAGTTTATATTATTTTTTCTGCAAACAAATCTGGTTGAAAACATTATAACTTTACTGTAGATACTCTGAAATCTATATTATTGCAACACGAAACAAAATATCTGGAACGCAAAAAAATCTTACAAATGTAAATCACTTGTGATACAATATCCTAAAGAGATGTCACTGTTGAGCAAATAATACGCCGTTCCCAGAGCTTTGCAGTTTTCACATTAAAATATTTCCTTGTTTTTTGTTCCAATTACATGTGTAGAAAACGTTTATATGAAATGCTTCCCTTCGTTATGTGACAACAAGGAATTGTCATAAAGGGCAAAGTAATAGCTGCCTGTATCGATGGGTCATGTTGTACATAATGCAGACATAAAATTTTACAAACGCGTTTCTGTTTGTCAATTAAGACCAGTATTCATAAATCTGTTTTTAATTCTGGTTTCAAGCTCAATTTTGTTTGTCCTTGATAAATTAACTTTTAAAAATCACATTTTGTCAAGGACATGTACAAAAAAAGCCGAATACCGATTTTAATGTTTATACTGACTTCTTGACCATGACTTAAACGAGTAACAAGACAGCTTGCTTGGGCACATAATTCACGCTTTAGTATGAAAATAAATACAGGCCCAGATCTTCATCTCATGAATATGCATCACAAAGGGATACAAACGATATCTGAAAGTTATGAATATCCTTAACTAATAATTTTTTTCATGTATTAGCTTGTTTCGACGGAGTGTTCGGTAAGGGATGTAACACTCGATGTCACTGCGCTGTACCAGGATGTGATAAGGCAGATGGTACTTGTACAAACATAAATGCAGGATGTTTGGATGGCTGGAATGGTTCTTCCTGTAGCCAAGGTAAATAAGATCCAATTAACTTAAACTCTGAACTTATTTTTTATAACTAAATGAGACCTGAACCAATGTAAATACTGTGTTCTGATGTTCTGAATTTCATGGGTTTAACTGAATAAAATCGCAGTTATTTGAATTTTAAATGCTTCTTACTTTTTTATTTTTATTTAGCATGTGTTTCTCCTTATTTTGGAAACAAGTGCACATCACAATGTAGATGCAAAACATTTGGTTGTAACCACGCCAATGGGACATGTACAATACCTGGATGTATATCTGGGTGGAAGGGAACGTCATGCTCAACACGTAAGTACTGATTTACAATCAAAATCCATGTCGACCTTGATATATCTTTATTCATATCTGTGCAGTATTTGTCATTATGTTTTCAGCATGCACACAAATAATAATTATAAAATGTTTACCTACAGAATGCCCCATAAACATGTTTGGAGAAGACTGTCTCCTTACATGTCATTGTATGACCCCCGGATGTAGCCGCTTCAATGGAACCTGTTTCTCATCAGATGGTTGTAGTGATGGATACATTGGTAGCTCGTGCAGTACAAGTAAGAGTTACTATAAAATCAATATAGAACACCAACAAAACTTTAATATAATAAAAAAAGTCATATTGAGACCTCTAAGTGGTTCATGATAAATTTTACAAATATAGCTTAATAGTTACTACATGAATGATGATTGAGGGCTGTTGTGACAGATTTACTAATAACCAAAACATTTGCACTGAGACTTCGCGATCAATCGATTAATATATGCTTAAATAGTTACCATTGATATCTTCGTACACTAATGACATCTTTTTCTTAAGATAAAACATTTCTAATTAAAAATTAGTCTTGTTTATTTACGATAACAAATATCTTATAGAGTTTTAAGACGAAACATTGTTAATCATGAAACACATTGACATTTCTTTAATCAGAATGCAAATCAGGACATTTTGGTGCTAACTGTGCGAAACAATGTCGTTGTAAGGATACTGCATGTAGTCATGTGACAGGAAACTGCTCTGCATCCGGATGTCTGCCAGGCTGGAGGGGTGAAACGTGTAGTGAACGTTAGTATATCTTCATTAGAAGGTCGTGCAAGATTTGTCTGTGGTAATTATCACTTTCCTGTGCGTAAATGACAGAACTGTCTAGGGCAGGTGACATGCTTTATGGGACAAGAAATGACTTGAGGTCACGAGATAGGAAACATTCCGATCAATGATGCGGAAATTGGGGTGCTTTATGTGACTTCGGGGCTAATTGTGGTGATCGGAAAGGGAGAAAAATACTCTTTATGCCAAGGGTTGTAGGATAGGAAAATACTCTCAGGATTTAGAAAAACACCCTCTTGAGTGGAATTTCCCTAACGTACAGCACTGGGCATATTAATTTACCGTTATTTATAACTTGCCGGTGCTTAGATAAAAGCTTAAATTTAATTTGAAAAAAAACACCAAAAATACATGCGATTTGATTAATTCAGAATATGCGTAAAATAGAAAGGTCGCTTTATTTTGCTTCGGGAAATACACCTTATCTTGGGGAAATAGAAACTTATCAATTACGACGAATACATAGTTGAACTTTATAATTGAATGATATTTGCTTTGAATACGTCATTGTTTCCTCCTTTAATAGTGATAATTGATCCATTTTTTCCCTCCATTGACATTATCCAATTAACTATTTGATATGCGTTTTTGTGTAGTTTCAGTAATAATTTATCACCAAAGCCTATTATTGGTTTATTTCACACTCTTTGCAAAGTGTAACATATGGTCTGGGTCATTGTGAAAAATACGCCCCCCCCCCACGTCCTTTAGCGATTTCATGTGCTTTAGTTTTGTCGTATTTGTTTGTAAATATTTTGTTATGACTGTAGGTGTTTGTAAATTTCAATTACATGACAAAAACCGATCAATTGAACAGGAAATGTAATGTAGCGCTATTAATCAAACTTGACACCACAGTCTATATAGCTATTTTGCTGATATTTGACACAGGATGTCCAAATTCATCATATGGACAAGATTGTAAGTTAACGTGTGGACAGTGCTTCAACATGACGGGATGTCATCACGAAAATGGAGAATGTGAAGAGGGATGCTTGGATGGTTACTTTGGCAATTCCTGCCATTTAGGTAGTTTGTTTGTGAAATACATAACAAGTAAGATTTATCATAAAACATATAGTCATATTGATTGTTTATTTGTTACTTAGTCAGATATATTGTTTATATAATACATAGTCAGGTAGATTGTTTATATCATACCTAGTCAGGTAGATTGTTTATATATTACTTAGTCAGGAAGCTTGTTTATTATATAATACTTAGTCAGGTAGATTGTTTATACATACATAGTCAGATAGATTGTTTATATAATACTCAGTCATGTAGATTGTTTATATAATACTTAGTCAGGTAGATTGTTTATTTCATACTTAGTCAGGTAGGTTGTTTATAAAATACTTAGTCAGGTAGATTGTTTATACAATACATTATCAGGTAGATTGTTAAAATAACACATAGTCAGGTAGATTGTTAAATAATACATAGTCAGGTAAATTGTTTATATAATACTTAGTCAGGCAGATTGTTTATAAAATGCAGTCAGGTATATCATTTATATAAAACTTAGTCAGGTAAATTGTTTTTATAAAACTTAGTTAGGTAAATTGTTTATATAATACATAGTCAGGTAGATTGTTTATATGATACTTAGCCAGGTAGATTCTTAATAAAGTACAAAGTCGTGTATATTGTTTATAAAATGCTAAGTCTTGTAGATTGTTTATATAATGCTTAGTCAGGTAGAATTTTGATATAATACTGAGGCAGGCAGATTGTTTATAAAATACACGCACAGGTAGATTGTTCGTTATATACACAATGTCAATTCAGTAATTTTGTAATCTGGAATTTTTTTTTATACACCTGCACATTACAATGTAAACGATCCCTTTGAAACACAGCAGGATAAAGCTAGTTTTGCACCATTTAGATAAGATTATGCTTTAAGTATAAAATTATTTGTTTGAAATAGATAAATTTGATATATTTGTGGGAAATTGAACGTTTCCGAATAAGTAATATTCATGAACTTATTTTGGTATAAATATGATATACATGTACAAATAATAAAAAAATGTACGATGTTGAATTATCATTTATAATGATTTAATATGGAGTGTTTCCATAACGAGGTTCTAACTTATAACAATACATTTTAAATATAATTCAGCAAAGCCCACTATTGATAACATGGAACATATAGAAACGCAAACAAACTTGTTTATACGACACAGATCGACCGATATCTGATAAAGACGACACCGGAAGTGGTACTGGGGGCATAGATGGAGGAGTAATCGGAGCGTGTGTGGTCGCTGTGCTAGCCATTGGTATCGTAATTCTGCTGAAAAGGTAATGTATCATATCATTAACAAATATTTTATGCCAGAAGGGGGCTTTGTTAGATGTGATATTTTCAATTGGATGATCGAGAGGCTAGGTACATTTACTTGTGAATTTGTACTATGGACATAATGCCAACTCTAAAATATGGAAATATTGCGAACTGTAAAAACAGATAAAATCTGTTTTGTCATATTTGAAATATTCAACAAATTCGGTTTTGTTGCACTGGTTTTGTTTGTTTTTATCTCAGACGACAACAGGCTGGAAGTAAAAACAGTCCTAAATTCGAACAAAACAATAGGCACTTCATTAAGGACACTGGACTGGGTAAGTTGTTTCTCATAAACGTGAAAAAATACTTTTAAAATCATATTTGTAAAAAAGAAATGCTCCTGGTCAACAATCTAAGGGTTGCTTGGTAGTTTTAGATACGGCCAGTTCTACCAGATCGTTATTGGTGTCATCATTGCTGTCCCTCCGTTCTTCTGTTGTTCCGTGTTTTCGTCCGAATGTCTACTGATTCCAGGATAAAGTGTGTTTAACCACATTTCACAAATTGACAAGCCGGAGTAACAAAATTATATTTCATGGCGGATGTATTAGATAAAACTAAATACAGTAATTCTTCCAGAACTCAAAGTCGTGTTATCTTTTCATTTTAGATGATCTTCACGTTTATAAAGTGTTACGTCATCTACACATTAAACTATCTATTGTGTTTTACTTGCAATATAAGCGTTGTTTTTATCAATACTGCAGACAACGGGTGCGAAAAAAATATAAATCATCAAGGATAAATTTGAGTTAAGCGTTCCTATTGCAGAATTGGGCCATGTAACCTCGACTGAAAAGAATTTCATTCCCTCTCTACATACATTGTAATGACTCTATAATTCATAAATATTTAAGTATGTTATGCCTATAGGATCGGAAATAAATAAAAAATCTATGAATCAAATCCAGAAGTCTAGCTAGGCTACCTGCCCCGAGTTAAATAGAAAAGTTCGGAATAAGTTTCACGAATCCAATATAAAACGGACACGAAATATACACAGTTGATCCATTTTAATAAAAAAAATTACTAGCAATGCATACGCATGTTTTTTTCACAGATATGAATTCTTCAAAGAGGACATCGTTATGTAAATGGTCTTCAATGCAGCGTCAAAATGTCATTTCGTCATGTCTATTGTCATAATTTTGACATCAGAATATGTGATATCATTCGACGAATGATATGGGTGTCACTATATAACAAGTTAGTCAGGTAGATAAACTTAAGGTGAATGAATAGTATATGTTGAACATGTAATATCTAAAAAGGATAATGAACTTCACCTTTATTTCCTTGACTAGATGAACATTTACCCGAAGAGGAAAGCAATGATTCTGTACAGAAACAGAAGATCTTACACAAAGGAAAAGGGAGAGCGCGTAAGAGGTCAATAGGGTTGGAGAACATTGACATAGACGACGAGGACAACATGTACGTAAACTCTGGTGGAAATTTCAGTGATGTCGACGAGTCAATTTCCATACCTGTAAAGAATTTTGGGGCTGTCTTAGAGCAAAAAGAGGCTGACGAACTCCTGGACAAGGAATACCAGGTCAATAACGAACTTTATAGATATGCAGACTAGACCAATAAGTAGTCCATGTTTTATTATATGTTTGATGTATTGACGAGTAGAAAACGAAACACACTTATCGATTATAGATATCATTCTTACCATGTGAATCTTATGAAAACTATAGTCTATGTAGTAACAAAACTTAAATTTTGCATATAAATTCATATGACATACTTGTCAATTATTGTTTATAACTTTTTTCGCGAGATAATATTTGCCGTATTTATTCTCGGAGAGATTCATTCTTTATTACAGTCTACTGTAAATATTATTATCAACATTGAAAGAACATTCTCTCGAAAGCAAATTGTAGTATTCATGAATAAAACATGCAAGCATATTTTGCGAATAAAACGTACACGCGAAATCAAATTGATATACAGTGCATAACATTTTGTGAATTAAGTGAAGACCTTAAGTATTTATATTAAACACCTAGACATATCATGTTCGCTTTGATGTCTGAGAAAGTTGATGTTGTTGATCTCAATGAATTGCTATGGTCTTTTCAGACTTTACTATCTGGTGCTGTACACCCACATGATGAAGGGAAGAAGGAGTACAACATACCGAAAAATAGATTCATTTCGACATTTCCGTGTAAATATATATTATTTGCTAAACTTTGAAAAGGCAAAGTTGATGAATATGCATATAAATATGACTGTAAAGTCTATTCAGTATCTTATACCTGCTTTATATATGTTAGGATAACCCCATCAAGTCGCTAAATGAATCAATAATGTAATTATTGAATGAATAAAATATTGAAATGACAGAATACCCAATTTTGCATATTATCCAGACCACGTCCTGATGTGTGCGATAACACATTCGCCCTAATTTCTTTGTTTATCTGTAGACGACCACTCCAGGGTGATTCTCGAGGATCAGAAGTCAGAACCGGGATCTGATTATATCAACGCCAACTATATTGACGACGTAAGAACTGATTCAACACATTTTGATATGCAAGTAATGGCTAACAGAAAAAATACAACAATTTTTATATATTTGTAAACAAATAATAATAGAATAATAGAAATGTCTATACCAGTGACATTTTGATCAGATATGTGATCTTATGCTCTATGCACATATGAATGCCAGGTTTTATCACAAGAAGAAATAGATTTCAAATGAAATAATTTATATTTATGCTGAAGTGATAGGTAAAGGAGACCTCACTGAGGATTTAGCAACCCATTCAGTGAGGTGATGTCAAATGCACAGAGAAAATATTTTCCTTTTCGCTGACAGAATTTTTTGACAAAATTGTGTCGCACTAGATTTTTGAAAAAATACGTTTTATTAGTTCTGTAATTGAGAAAACATAAACGTCTTGTAACTACTAAGCAATACAACGATAAATAGATTTATAGTTTATGATTTTATTTTTAGAGCACATCCAGATCAGAAGTCTACATTGCAGTGCAAGGTATCTAATTATTCTCATACATGTAATAGCTTGATTAGATCATAATTAATATAACTGATATTTATCTTTGGTAGATTTGTATTCAGAAATACTATTTTATCACAACTACATATATATGTGTAGTCGAAAACAATTATAACCAACGCATGGAGATAGTTGGAACAATATATGCAAAACATATATATATATTTGCATTAATCTTTTTTCAGTTCTACAATGCTTCTAGGACTTTCATTCTAATTTGTTCTGGCATTTGGTTTAATAAAATGTACTCTACTGTTACTTTTGATTCGCGAGATATTCTTTTTCTCCTCTATTTTTTGGAAGACTCACGCGAATTAAACCATTTCAGTAACATGTTAACTGTGTCATTTGGTCTCCAAACCCGTAATACTTCTTTGAAATCCGTTGGTAAAGTCTTTATATAAATGAATAATGATGATAATTTAAGGAGAGAAAAACTTTAGTGTAGATCTAGACGATACGTATTCTGATTAAATGCAAATTATAAAGCACGATTTTATTTATTGGACATTTTTAAATAATAAATAACACTAAAAAATAATAAATGGATAATATTATCGACTATCGATTGGCCCTGTGATCTCAATGATAATTGAAGGTTTTGTGAAGAGTCGTTTGGCACTTGTTAAATGTAAATAATGATTGAATTTATTTCGAAGTTCATTTCAGTTGTACAGTGAATTGATATAACACGTTATGACAATGTTTTGAATGTAGGTCCAAAGAAAAAGACCTTCGAGGCGTTTTGGCTGATGATTTGGCAGCAGAAATGCCATACTATAGCTATGTTGGCTAATTTATACGAAAATGGAAAGGTATATTATTAAACTTAAAGATAACCTTAGAATAAGAAATATGCTAAGTGTTTTTATTTACGAAATCGTATTTAATCAAATATATAAATATTCATTTATTATCTATCAAATTTTAATGTTTATTATAACATTTTTTGGTTTTTTTTTTATATTATAATATCTGAAACAATAAAACATTGAAGATAACCAAGTGTTTAATCTTAATATCCTTTAATCAGAACAAATGCTACAAATATTGGCCTAATATGGACGATCCGATCAACACGGCGACATTTGTCATCAACCTGAACTCTGAAAAACAGTACGCTTTCTACGCCATAAGGGTGATAATGCTGAAACATAGACACGTAAGTAAAAACATTCATAGTTCTGTCAAATTAACTAAATGGCTATATAGATACCAAGTTACCAAATATATCGTATCTTTTCCAAGTTTACTTTATAAATGTGATAATGTAGACCTGGCTATGAGGGTGATAGTGTGTCAGTCGTGAGGAAGGAGATATCTTCCGAGGGAAAACACAGGGAAAATAATTAGACCAAGGGTCTGACGCACTTTCACCCAAATAGCCGTGTGATAAACCCTTTGTACATTAGACATTCTTAAATCCAATACATCCATGGTCCACATTATTTTGTATTATAATTAATAAAAGTGCTCGGGATAGCTTTGCCAAGGTCGATATTTCTATTTCATCTATTCTCTTTCAATGGTTCGTCCATATAGACTTTGTTAATAATTCCATGATGATTTGATCTCATTTTTTTTTTTTTTAATGTCCTTTTGAAAAACAAGATTCCTTAATCCCCCTCGGCAACGTACCTTAATCTCCCTCGGCAACGTTCAGACATCTGTCAATAGACTAAGGTCACATAAACTTTTTCGCGAAAACATTCACAATTTTAGTCATGCAGAGGACGAAAGTTTCAAAAACTATTCTCTCGGTGTTAGTAGTCATGCATACTTCACGAATATGACAGTAGTAAGTTTACTGATGCATAACGGGATGTATCTATAATTCTTTCAAAAACCTCTCATCATTTGTCAAATAATTGTTTGCAATTGCAATTACGTCAACAGCTGTTACTCGATTCCAATTTATATATTTGCCTTTAGTTTTCATATGTTATTGGTTTTTTTTAATTTGTCATATTCATGATCATATAGAGAGAAATCATTAAGCATGCCGATAATTGTTATGAAAATAATCATTTACATGAAAATGAATGAAATGACGAAAGGTCAACAGTAACATTATCAGCAATTATTTTGTTGTTTAACACAGGAACGCAGAGAGCGACAAATATACCAGTTTCACTACACAAAATGGCCAGACCACGACATACCAGATGTGTTTGAACTTGTCATGTTTCACCGACATTTGCAGCATTTACGGACCCAAGGGGATGGACCACTGGTTGTCCATTGCAGGTACAAAATAATAAAGTATTATGTGTTGTCATGTAATCTTTTGTGCATATCTTTCAAATGACAACATTTAATTTTAATATTTTGTTGCACTCCTCAACATCCAAATGCAGCATAGTTTGTTCAAATGCATAGATAAAATCCATTCATTGACAACTGTTAATGATAATTGGTTATCGAAAGTGGCGAGAAATGCATCTGCTCATATAGTGTACAACCGTTATAATTGTACACCGTTATAATCCTTTAATCAGATCATCTTTAACGAAGTGTAATATTTTGTTCAGTGCGGGAATAGGGAGAACAGGAACTTTGATTGCATTGGATGCCTTGTTGGAAGCAGGGAAGACGGCAGACGTGATAGACATACATGGATATGTAAAAATCATGAGGAACAATCGAATGAACATGGTCCAAACTGTGGTATGCCTTATATAAGGTTCAGTGTGTTTGCTAAATAATGATTAAAATGAGCTTAAAGAGGGTCATATGTAAAATATTGAAGTTAAACATAAAAAAGATCAAGTATAAGTTCAGATCCCTAAATCTCTATCTAAAGATAAACATTCACCCGTAAAACTGGTATTGTCAGCCTTGAGTTAAACCACCAAACGAAGTATTTAAAAACCCCAATGAAACATCAAATTAAGATAATGTATTTAAAGACATTGATATATAACTTGTCCTTTAGTACTCAAATAGGTACATAGCAACATGAGATCAAAATAAGTCATTTTGACCATTATCTTAATTAAGAAATAACAAAGGCATATAGATAAACTTCAGATATATGTCATTTCGTAGCATTCAGTTCGGTCTCCAGGAAGATATTGACATGTAAAGATGCTATGTATATGAAAACACAGCTTTAATGCCTTACTTCTGATTTAGTTTATAAAGCTATATACCATTTTGATAACTAAAGCACAAGTTCAATATACCCAAATAATAGCTATGTCCGAATTCCTATTTTAAATCGGATTTTTTAAATATGACTCATCAGAGGGTTGAAATTTTGATGACTTACCAGCTTTTAAGTGGACAACTTTGAACCTTAAGATGAAGACAATAAAGAGTAAGAAATACCCCCATTCGATCGTGCATTGCTATACAAAACGTCAATTATTCACTAAATCGTTTACAGAGTATGGAACGTTTCGGGTGTTTTAAGGTTTAGATAAGCCTGTCGTTTAGTAAGTGTATTTAGTAAACGGAATAAATAATACATAAATAAATATATCACAACCAGAAAGACATTTGACAAGGTTAATGTGAGAATCATAACCGAAGATCATTCGACAGTGGTTGAGTTGCGGATTGCTATTTGGACTATAATTTTTATAAGTAAGACGCTACATATTGCATTTAATGAACAATATTATAACGTCAACTGACCTCATACATCCCGTTAATGCAACTATAATTTTTCACGTGATTGAGTATCATAGCTATATTTCTACCTTCTCGGCTTGCAATCAAATGTATGTCTCTGATTCCAGAATCAGTACAAAGCACTTCATCTGGCTCTCTTAGAAGGCCTTAGTTTCCCGTACAGCATTCAAACAAAGACAGATTTCATCAGCTCCGAGGACAGCAACGTCTATGAGATCCCTGCCAACCAAACACAACGCAGCAAGGAATTCCAGGTACATCTGAAATATTTTAGACCCATTCATTTTTTTCCACGTTTTTCTTTTCCTTATCTTTTTTTTTTATCTGAAATTATAACGGCCTATATAATATATGTTACAGACTCTTCAAGATGTTAATGCAATCAGTGAGAAACGTTTGAAATACATTGTTGCCAAGTCTACAGAGAACAGGAACAAGAACCGCGACATGGATATTCTACCAGGTACATATTTAATTATTGAAGCAAGTACAGGTGTATAGCATTGCATTCTATCAAATGTATTAAGACAGTTTGTTTTTGTCTCTTTGAGATCTACTCTAATGAAACCACCGATTGATTTACAATATTTTTCTCTTAATTTAAACAGTACTACATGCATTAAAGGCCATTCTGGTGCAAATTTTCTTTAATGTATGTCTTGTTCACCTAAATGTATCATATGTATGAAAAATGCAGTTTTAAAGAACTCCAACCTTATGTTCCTCAGCGACAGGCCTTGACAACTCACTCATTATTTTCAGTTTACATGCTCATTCTTGCGACGTGTCTTAACATTTTGTTAATACTGTTTGTTTACAATAGAAACGAGAATTATCAAAAGGAACTATTTCAAACTTTTAACTCTTTAAACAGAATATAATCGGACGTGACGAAATATTGTTTATAGTCCGACGACATCCTCCGTACTCCAGGGGTTACACTTAATACGCTCTATGTACCCTGGTGAGCGTAAATCCTGGGGTATAACCTTTGCAAAGTAGGTAGACCGGATCCTATCGGATCGTAACTCTTGACTAGCTAAGATGCTCCGACGATAGCAACTAATTTCTCGTCTAGACAACCAATTACATCTGTATAAAGTAAAAGAAACAGCGCATTGATGGCATTCAACGGAAATAACGATATCTCATGCAAACGCTTATGTCTAACACTTAAAACATAGCAACCGATTTCTAGGCTTAACAATTGATAACATATATGCACTAAAACTGCCACATCGATTGTATTCAACGGAAGTTTAAAGGTTTTGGATATAACAAGATGAAGTGAACTTACATGACATTATGATATTTAATGCCGGTATACCAAGGAAACTCATTTAATAACATAGCAACAATATTACTTCAACCACTACGTACGACACATTTTTTGGCGCATATTATCAATATATATATAATTAGTCAAAATTAAATTATGTTATGTTATGAAGCACGTGATGTTGGAAAGTAAAGAAATATTTCAAATACACCATGATGCGATACTTGCAATGGATCTTCAGATAAGTATATCCACGTCATTGACTGCTGAAGGCAAGTTAATCATGATTCAAGATATAATTGTAGGAAAAGAAACTTGTCTGAAACAGGGAGTCCAATGACGTTTTATTATAAGATTTTGTAATCGACTCTAAATCATGCCCGAAAGCAATGTAACAAGAATGAAGCAATTTATAGCTTTAGTTTCCATGGTATATCCGAGGCAGCGGTAAAATATTGAAAACATAAATTTTACATAAAACTTTGTTTGCAGTTTTAACTTCAGAGCACAATTTCAAGTCGAGTAGTTATAATTTTTACAGACCTGGTACCTGATCTCGTTTTTACTTCATTTTAATATTGTGGTTGTTTGATGCTAGTAACTTATTCGTGTTCTTTGTCTACCCATTTTAGTAATTTTGAATTATTTCTGTTGAAACGGTTATTTTTATTCATGAATGTTTTTTACCGTCAGAAGAAAAAGATTCCATTTTAATTATTTTCCTAACACATACAATACTGATAACGATTTATTGTTACATCTCAAATTCAAGATAAAATAGAGGGGATAACAAAATTCCTCCCAGAGTAATGATATGACAATTATTTTAATGATATGTCATCTATTATATTTGACACTTGGGGAAAGATCATGGACAAAGTATCTATGGGAAAACCAACAAAATGAAGAATATCGAAATCGACACTAATCTCTGATACTATGATAAAGTATGTACGCGTTTGCAAAGTGATACGATGATTATTTTATGCTTAAGAAGCGAGTTATTAACGTAAAGTCTGAACCTATATGTTGTATATTAGTTCCCAGTTTTACTCGGACCATGCTCATAATGTACCCAATAATAAGGGTTTATTTCTAGCTTAGTTATAATTAACCAAGTAACACAAACAATGGCTAATCACAGTCATAGAATATAACCAATCCAGTTTTCAGCTTGATCTAAATTTGTTTCATTCCAATAGAAAATAATTCACTGATAGCACCATTTCATATCAAAATCCACAATGACCTTGACCTCAGCACCCTGAATATTAACATGTTTGAGTCATTCCCATATTGACGTAAAAAGCGAAAACATGTTATTGTCGAAGTTGAAGTGTTCTTTTTATTATTTTCCTTATTTGTATATATCAGTCATATATATTTGTGTATGAAAATTTTCGCCTATTAAGTCAATGCGAAAAATGCAAATATTTCCAAACCGCGACAGTTTCAACTTTTACAATAAGTTATGATTCTTGTGTTTGTCAATTCAATCATAATTTCTAGTAAAAAATGTTTATTTTTTCTTGTAACAGGCGACAATTACAGAGTGGTCTTATACTCAAAGAAGAATAACTACATCAACGCAATTAAACTTCCGGTACGAATACATAGTGACATAGCATATTAATTTGTAACGTAAATAGTATGTCAAGGTTTGGATAAAGCTAGAGTGCATCTGTCTCCGTTATATATATATTGAAGATATTCATTTGAGTTTCCGTAAAATACAACAAAGTACCATGCATTTATAGTTATGTGACAGATTATGGATTACACAACAAACCTTTATATTTCATGTTGATAATACCACAAATATTTTGACACTTTCCAGCGACCTGTAAATATATCATGTCGTGACATTTGATTCAACTCCACATGATCAATAAGTATATAGAATTTATCACATTAAGGCATTTTATTACAGTGATTATATCATTTTGATATTTTTTCCCTCATTTTGAAAGAATGTATCTTTTTCAATATTTGACTGGTAAAAATGTAATTAAACTTTTAATTGCTTAAAATTCATTGATATTGCCATATTGAAAACTCTATAACGGAGCATAATTTCTTCAAACTTGAAACAAAGTTATTTAATGCATGAACTCCAGAGCTTCCGGCATCACCTGAGATATCTAGTAACGCAGTTTCCTCTGACTCATACGATTGTTGACTTCTGGACCATGGTGACTGAATATCGCTCCAGAACTATCGTCTGTCTGGAGGATTCTGAAGGTGAACAGGTTGGTTGATATATTTTAGCCATTCAGTTATTTCGCTGTTGATTATTCGTTCATTTAATATAACATCCGCGTATTATCCACCAATTATCGTGTGATATAATCTAACATCCGTGATATTATTATTTCAATTATTGTGTTAACACTCAGGAGGAGAGTTATTCGCCAATAAGTTTTTTCGTTATTGATTTCTCGTTCATTCAATATTACATCAGCGTCTTATGTATTAATTATCGTGTGATATGTTTTGACTTCATGTTATATGTTTAAACTATTGTGTCATAATACTGACAACCATGTCATATATACGATCTACTTACTACATTGCTATACATATTATATGTCTTCTCACCGATTCTCACGTGATTTGGAAGTGTAATATACATCATAATTGAGGATACAATCCACTGTTTTCACTTTCTGTAGCGGTCAAATGAACGAAGAGTGATACACGATCAATTGAAACGAAGATGTTCACAAATTTATATAAAATGTAATTCAGTTATCTCCCTTAACTATTCCAAAGCGAGGTCTTATATGTTGTCATATATGCGGACTTAATAAGTGACTCTTTTGGGGACTATATGAAACTCTTATCTGAAGAAAACTTCAAATAAATCATTAAATAAATATTTTAACTGAATTGGGGAAAAAATCAATATGCATTTACAGCAAATCTAAATTCAGTTAAAATTATGTGTTGTTTTTGTAGTCCTATTAGGAACTTAAGTCGACGCGACTGAATAAACAGGAAATATATATAATTGAAAGATGATAAACTATTCTTCATAACAGGAAATTCCGTGGTTGCCCGCAAAATCCAGGGTCAAGTATACTAATGAATTTGAGATTCGGTCGATGTCGGTCGAAAGATGTGAGGATAACATCAATGCATCAATGATGGAGATCACAAACAAGGTGAATACAAATATTGTTGTATCGGTAATACAAATTGATATGAAAATATATCAGTTTTACATCAGATGGATTAATTAGCACTGCATTATGCACGGTTTGTATATACAAACACCAAAAACTGATTATTTCATATTATTTTTGGTTTCGTTTCAGCAAAGTAACACTAATCAACGTGTAAAGCTGTTCCAAGTCAGTAATTGGGCAAAAGATTCGTCCATTCCATCAAGTCAGAGTGTCCTGTGTAAACTCCATTATCTGGTAGAGGCATGGATGATGTCTCAAGAGGAGGTACCAGTCGTGGTCATGTGTTTGTACGTCATCATTATAAATGCTCAACAGCATTAAAATTTTCGGAGAGAAGTTCTGCTCAGAGATAGGCTTACTTACCACATTAAGATCGCATGGAGTATACCACATAAGCTGTAATAAGTCGTTATATATTTATATATTAATGATTTCATATCGTTTAATTTCCTCCTATAATTCAAGGATAAAAATGAAAGAAAATAAATCTGGAAGACTTCTTATAAAGGTTTTTTTCTGTCAATAATATGATTTTTTTTTTTTTACTGTAATTATAGAACTTTTTCTGTAGTAGATATTAAAATGGGTATGTGATTAAGCTATAGAGCCATAACGGAAAGACTTTAAAAATAGAAATAACTTTTAGAATTTTCGCTGAAAGTAGATTTGTTTTGTTGTTAAGGGATGGAGCAAAACGCTGTGGTCTATACTGCCTTATCAGTACAACGTTGGAGAGACTGGACATGGAGTCGGATATCGACTTGTATGCTACCACAAGACAGTTGCAGATCCGGCGTCCTCAATTAGTTGCTTCTATGGTATATATTTCATTAACCACAATATACAACACTAATATACATGTAGCAAAGTTATATAAATCAACGAGATGTACAAGATTGTTTAAGGATTTTTTTGACACTAACAATTTGATATATCTATTTAAAAAAACTGTAAATAATATTTCACTTTTTGTTGTTAATCTTAATAACATTTTCCATGCGATTTTGCAGGACCAGTACCAATATACCTTGGATGCTGTGAAAGCCCATCTTCACACTATGGGCAACAGCTACTACCAAGAGTGCCAACACGAAGAGGCAGTTTATCAGAACAGTCCATGATGTAAAGGGTCTCGGTATTGTGTCTCCGGAAACCACCGACACATTTCTGTGTTTAAAGCTTCTGACTAATACATCGATAACCGCAAGTTGATGATGATCCCGATTCTAATGTGATTATGGGCGTTTTCTCTCACTTTTGGTTTCCCTTTTTGTTCAGAACATTTATGCACTTGCCTAGATAAATTACTTTGAGGATACATTTTAATTACCATGTATTAATTGAGGTACGGTAGTCTAGTGGTAGGACGCCGGGCTCGTGACCGAAGGTTTGTGGGTTCGCGTCACGTCACGTCACTGTGTTGTATCTTTGAACAAGATACTTTACTCCGCTTGTTCCAGTCTACTCAGCTGAAAATAGGTACTTGGTTGGCCTGTGCTAGAATTGTT